AATTACAATTAAGTGAATTTTAAAGAAGTAAAGATACAAGTTTTTTAATGTGTATTTATATCTTTCAGGTAAATATTATTTGCTTCTCAATTCTTACATTCATTAACCTTGTTTGCTATGAGAGTCTCTTCCAGAGAAACGACACTGCTATACAAGCCGGAAAGCCACCAGTAGTGTTAGTTACACAATATAAGATTTTTCAATCATCAAATATATTAAAAAATTAAAAATATCACTTCTGAAAACGAAAATCACAATAGCACATTATAATTCTCAATAATTCAACTTAAAGTGATAAATATTGAAACAAAACTCGAAACACTGGATGACAACACATGTACACATAGGTTGTGAACCTGATGTCAGTACATTTTTTTACCATATTATTTATTATTATGTATACAGTATACATACATAGTTTTTTCTTGAGATGGAACGTAGCCGGAAATGGAAATGTTGCAAATGAAAACTTGCTTCAAAAAACTTTGTATTTCATTTTGGATTGATCAAAAATTAAATGAAATCATTAAAAAATCTAGGATTCGTCAATCATATGTATACATACACACACATATATATATATATATATATATATATATGAATATATATATATATTTATTATGTTATAACCAAGTCTTCTCGATTTTAATCGCACTTGCACCGTTTTGTTCTAAGCTTTGTTCGGTTTTCTAATTTCTATTCTTCTAAATATATGAGATATTAGTATAACTCATAGTAAAATCAAAAAAACTTATTTATTACAAAAAATTATTATCACATACAGGATAAAATTGTTTTAGCCCTTTTCACTCGTATATTGCAAAAGTAGTATGTATTTTGTCGTCGGAGCGGCGGCATCCGAGTGGAAAGGGTATTACTTAATAATATATATATATATGGGAAGGAGGTATAAAACGTTTCATAATTGTAGTTTCATGTCTGAACTGGTATTAGTTTTCTTATAAAGTTCTACAAACAAATTTGTTATAGTATAACAGCGTTTTATATGACAAAGAGCTAAAAATTTATATAATTGTGCCAAAAATTTAATTTTGGCTAAAAACCGATAATCGTGTTATACCTCCCACCTAATAGCATATACATAATTTTCATGACTTTGTTTAATTAATATAATAGAGAAAAATTTAATTGACGTTTTAAAATTGCTATATCACTATGTTTTACTGTTAAGAGGTCTATGGATGGCATATTTGTACATAAACTATATTTATATATTAAAATATATATCATTGTTCAATTTACAATCGTCTATCGAATCAATTTAATTTTCTATTTGTTATTATTTAACATCTTTTTGCAATAATATAATTGAATAATGAATGCACTCTTATTATGTTCTTGATAGTAATACAATCATTGAAATTTTTAGTAAACCATGTGTCAAATTTTATTTTTAATATATTAATATGTATGATATTAGCAATAATTGAATGATTCTATTGTAATATATATACATATATATATATATATATATATATATATATATGTATGTATATTACCAGTAAATTCAATTGCAAATTTTATGTTTTTTCTAGGTTTCAAGTCATTGTGAATTGTTTCAGACCAGCTGAACCTGGATGAGGACTCCAGTTGATTAGTTTTGTGAGACGATCAGCCAAGCCGTTTCTTTAGAATTGGCATAATAGTGCAAGATTTTACGTCTACGTTTGCGCCAAAAATCTTGAACCCATTTTGAAAACTTAGAAACCATTTGAAAGATTTAATTTTGGAATCGTGCTGATCAGATAAATGTTTTATTTTAAAAAAATGTATTTTTGATAAACTTCCTGAAATATTATAGACCTACAAAAAATGGTTGATGAAAATTCATTAATATTTGGAATAATATTTAATCAATTGATAATCACTTCGAAAATTATATGAAAATAGCTATATTTTAATACTTTTTGATTGTCCTGGCAAAATGTCCTTTACTCTTAGTTCCACGGAATGGATTGATGGTAAAGTTTTTCTTTCGCTTAGTGAATAAAACATGGTATTGACAATTGTAATGTTCCATTTTTTACAATGTTTCGTATCTTTTTCTAATTTGTCACGAAAGTGATGTTTGTTTCATAATCCAGTCATTTGGTCGTTTTGCCGGTACAGTACTCCGGGAATTCTGAAAATTGGTAATCTTATAGATTTCGAGGTGTTCTTTACGATCTTCAACTTCGCCACCTCAAATTTTTACGGCAAGTCGCTGCCATATTGGAAAAATGGCGTCAAAAAATAGTGTTTTTTTTTAGATAGCTCTTTTCAGGCTCATTCTTCGTTAAAAGTAGCTATGTACAAATTAATCTAGATGAAGTTTCCTGCAATTCATTCAAAAACCTTTTTTTGTAAAATTAATAGTTTGAGAGTGTGGGCGCCTCATTTCGGATCTCCCCATATTTGACTGCTCTTTGAACTTAACCACATTCTCTCTAATAAAAGAATATTTTTAATGGTAAATGGCGTGAACGTGAATATACATGCATCATTGGTAAATTTGTGTATTTGCAAGTATGTATGTGCGGATACATGTTGATTTGTCGAAGATTTCGAGACCATTGATCAACCGATTTCAATGATTCAAAAAACATTCGATTGCTATTGATGGAATGGGACTTGCTGATTAATTTTTGGCAAAGACAGGCCTGGCTATTTCGAAGATACCGGGTCAAAGTTAATAAGAAAGTTAAAAAAAATTATGGTCAAAAAAGATCATTAGACATATGCGCATTGAATTATCAGATATTTTATAGAGATGTTAATAATAAGAATACATATATTGTTTATATTTTTATGGTCCATACCAAAATTTACAAGGTTTAACCTTTAGGTTGCGTCGCGGCGTCTACGTGCTTTGTCTCTAAAACAACTACGCAACACGTAAAAAAATTGCGTAAAAAGACTTTTCTTCTAATAATTCAACATCTTCAAAAATCTAATGTTTTCAAAGTTTTCAAAAAAATTGATTTGACATTTATGGGAAGTTCCAGCAATTTGCCTTAGTCAGAAATACGTGCTCTATGAGCTATGTTTCCAATTGTACATCCTAATATTTTTAAGAGGGCAATTTGTATATCTAGTAGTGTTGACGTGTATGTGTTGCAGCAATGCCTACAAAAAGGGTTTGTGCATGAGA